GCACCTAATTTTCATGTAAAATTATAATAATAATCTAACTCTGGCTTCATTTGTAGATTTGAGAAAAATGTAAGTGAAAAGTATTTCTTAAGAACAAATCAATTAAATTCCTTAAAACTGCTAAGGAAACTAAATAAATATACAAAATATTTAATAGCATATCGTGGACCTAAGTAATGGAATTCTTTTAAAAAAATTAGTGCAAATATGGTAAAATCATTAAAATCATTTAAGTTCCAAGCAAAAAAAAACGTAACCCAATGGTAAATTTATTCAAATAGAATTTACTTATTATTCTTAGTAGTTACTAATGATATATGTGTCTTTTAATGTAAAATTTTTTAATCTTTCTGTATATGCTTGTATGGGAAAAAGGTTCCTACATCTGTCCAACAACATTCGTGGAATAGTGAAATAACATACGCACATTTTTGTTCAAGATCATTCGCTTTTTTTCTTTACTGAACTAACATTTGCCCAACAACATCTGATATTTCATTGACATCTAATAACATCTATAGAAAGATGTAACTACATCCGGGAGTTTTTCTCAATGTGCAACTACAACCGCCTAAAATAATGCATTATTAAATAAAATAAATTTCCAGATGTATTTACATCCAAAAAAAATCAGATGAGTAAATACATTTGGTTAAAATAATGCATTTTTGAATTTGTTTTTTTTCCAGATGTAGTTATATCCGAAAAAATCAGATATGTAACTACATCTGATTAAATCAATGTATTATTAAAAAAAAAAATTCCGGGATGTAATTACATATATCAACTACATATAGAATTATTATATTATATAAGTGCTGCTACATCGACTGACAAATAGCCAGACTCGCAAAGAAGTGCTGCTACATCGACTGAGGGTTTGGTTTGAGCAGGAAGTCTATCAAAAAATTAAATTTAAAAAAAAAAATATTATGCCTAAAATAATGCATTTTAATAAATTTTTTTTGGCGGGTGAAGGTATATCCAAAAAAAATCAGAAGTGTAACTTCATCTGGTTAAAATAACGCATTAATAAAAAATATATTTTTTCGGATGTAGTTACATCCGCGAAATCTACAGATGTAGTTTTTTTTTTTTTTTTTTTTTTTTAACATGTTTATTTTACAACTACAAATTATTTACAATTAACCAATCACCGATTGGCGAATAAAGATATACAAATATAAATATCGTAAACATAAAATCCAAAATAAATAAGGGATAAATCTAAAATATTGTTACATTCAACTTTGAGACATGATAAAAATAAATACAAAGTACAGAATAGAATAACGTGAATGTAAAAGCTATACAAGAAATCTTCTATATTCTTTCATTCAAAATAAAATAAAGTATGATTAGTGCGGTAGTGTGGTAGAGCGCTCGCTTCATAAACGAGTGGTTCCGAGTTTGATCCCCACCACGTCTCTGGTAGTACCGCGCTCAACTCGTTTCTCTGCGCAGCGGCCTTGTTCGTCAAGGTTCGTGTTTCGGAGTTATAGAGTTGAGAAAGGGTTATAGCCACAAAATAAGTAGCCTCCTCGTCTGTAGTGGCCTTCTCGGCCTTGAGGAGGTGAAGTAAAATAAAAAAATTAAAAAATCATAAAAACAAGATTTGTATAAGATTGAAGAAAATAATTAATTGTTTGTAGTTATCGGAAGCTTGCAGAAGACTGGGGTCAGTCTTGTCGAGTACCTTCTAGGTGTGTAATACACATAAAAATCAGTTGCATACGTAGTAAGTATGTATGTGGTACATTTATGCCTTAAAATTATTAATGTTACTATCTCCTTTTAGTATTATTTTTATTGTTTCCTTTGAAAAGCTACATTTTTTGTTTTATTAGGGTTGTTTTATAATATTTTTATTTTTAAATTTTAAATTAGAGTTTAAAAAAACTCCTTGTAGTTGTTTAAGTTGATTATTGTAGATTTTAACTTTGTTTTCAGGGACTGTTCGTTGTTTAAATTTAATAACGATTCCTTTCTGGATATTATTGTGTTAAATAAATAGGGACCACGATGTTCTATTGAAAATTTTGAGAATTTAGTTTTTTCAAAAGGTATCTTAAAGTTTCACGTTGTTCTTGTGTTGTATTTGTTTACGTTGTTTTCAAAAAAGTGTGCTGTAAAGAAAAAGTGTGCTTTAGTTGCACGGATGTTATTATAAATCAATGAAATTTCGGATGTTGTTCAGATGTTGTTGCAAAAACAATGACATAGCAAAAGCGGATGTTGTTATCCTGACCCGTTTGTATGTATTTCTAATTTTTGAATACCTAGCTTTAAATTATAATTATTGCAAAATATCATTGTAGTTGTAAAAATAATTTGCTTTCCGACTATATGTTTAGTTTATTTTCAATTTTTTTATTATATTACTTTTATATTTTTAACTCTATCTGAAAAAATTTTAATTTATTAAGAGGCTCTTTGAAAAGATTGAGGTGGTTTTGCATCACCCATATCTTCTTTGAGTCTCGATCTGTTTTTAAAATATTTTATTTACTGAAGGCTACCATGTAAAACTCATCATTAATTTATTTTAACAGCGAAATATAAACTTAAAAAAAGAAAATTTACATCAAAAGTACAAACAGGGACACCATCCATGTGTAATCTGTTGATGGAATCAGATAATCATCCAGCTGTTGATGGAATCAGTCACTCTGAGACCTACCACTGAGTTTGAGAAACCTGACTACTAGCCGGCCTCAGAACCATAAAACTAAGTTTTAGAGCTGTATTTAGAGATAATAGAATGAGTTGCTTGTCATAAAACAGAAGCACAAACAAAATTCATGCATTGAGTCAAGAAGATCTAGCATTTAACATTCTAAACTGGAAACAATGTATTACAAATATATTTGCGTCAGCCTAATAGATGAAGAAGGAATGCAAGGCTAATCAACAGATAGAACCTTGGGGCTTAATGATAAGATGTAAATATTTTTTTTTTAAGTTACAACTGTAAATTTTTTTTTATTGACTAAAATTGTAAAAAAAAAAAAAAAACCTGTTTACCCCTTAAGTCTTTGCCTAGGAGGCCTCTACAAGACAGTAGCCGGATGCGTTTAATATCTGCCCAAGATGAGTATTTTGATTGAGACACCATCTCTACCTTTTACTAAACCAAGATTCCCTAGGCAGGGGTTGTTTTAAGTCGGAGTTGGCTTCTCCTAGTCTTTGCCTAAAAAAGTGTATCCTGCACGGCAGCATGATATAAAGCAGGTTGTACTGGATTACATGTTACCAGTAGCAGGATAATCTGACCTGACTTAAACGCTTTCACTTTAGCTATAATTAAAAACTTTCAATAAAGTCATAGATTTAGTTGATAGTTTATGTGAAACAAATGGATTTTACACCTTTTTTTGTTTTTTTGTTATATTGCATATAAAATAATTATTTGTTTCAATATTGTATTGAATATTTTTTGTCTTTAACAGTTTTATACTTTCTTATACTTGAAATTGCTTGTGTATAAACAAAACCAGTTGGTTTTTAAACTCAGGAAAAATCTGTGTGCATGCGTATGGGTTAGAAAGTAGGAATTCTATACATGTGATGATAATCGTAAACTAATTTATAATGCTGTTGAATCAATTTACAGTGAAATAGGCGAAAGATTTTATGAATTAATAAAAGATATCTTTTTATTTTGTAACAGAAAAAAAAATCAACATAAAGAGTAAAACTATTACTGCAATACGATGGATATGGTGATAAACTGATTAAACAGGATTTTTTTGTATAGAAACAATACTTGCGAGTATGATTTCTATAGAGTGTTTCTATACCATAAGTTTATTAAAAATTGCTATAACAAAACCCTTATGAGATGAATTGACAAAGGATTAAAGAAGTCACAAAAATATTTCGGAAAAAATATAATGTTTCACAAAATACAACATTGGTAATGTATTTTTCAAAAGCGTGTAAACTTTTGTATTAACTTGAAACGGATAAATTTTCTCAACTAAACATTTTCTAGTCAAAATAGTAACAAATACACAGTAGAAAAAGTGCCAAATATTTTTTCTCTTTTTTCAAAAACAGCGGATATTTGTGTTAGTGAAACGAGTAAATTACTTTCCAAGTTTTTTAAGATTAGTGCTAGCCACATACTTAAATAAAAATCAAACTGATTCATAGCAAATTTAAACTTGATAACGACAAATATAGAAACACGACACAAACATCACTTTTTGTGCGCTATCTTCACAAATTCTTCTATTTTCAATTTATTTTGATGCTAAGAATGTAATCTAAAAAACTTCTGAGCTATTGATGCAAAAACTATAACGTTATCGTCAACCGTTGTGAAATAGGAATCTTCCGTAAAAATGTAGAGTTTCTATACAGAAATTTGTCTAATGATGATGATGATGATGATGATGATGATGATGATGATGATGATGATGATGATGATGATGATGATGATGATGATGATGATGATGTTGATGATGATGATGATGATGATGATGATGATGATGATGATGTTGATGATGATGATGATGATGATGATGATGATGATGATGATGATGATGATGATGATGATGATGATGATGATGATGATGATGATGATGATGATGATGATGATGATGATGATATAAAAATGTAAGAGATCAAATTGCATTAAATAATGGCATAAAATTATACATTGAAAATGTTTATTTTGAAAAATTTTATTGAAAAATTTTTGAAATATTTGAAAAATTAAACTTTGATGTTAGGAAGATTTTAGTATATAAAAAATATATATTTGAATTATAAATAGAAAAAAATATAAAACTTATGAATAAAATGATTTCAAGACCTACAAAAAAACCCAATAAAATGTTTCCATTTAAAGGTCACAAAATATCAATATTATACCTATATTGTTGTTAGTTGAAAAAACTAGTAAAATCAAAAAATAATTCTTAAAAATCATATTAACCTATAAGAAGCAAAACTACATAAAATTTTTTAACAAAAATAATAAAATCATTTGTTACTTATCCCATGATCCTGATAACAACATTCCGAATTTTCCTGCAGTTAAAGCACACACAGCACCAGTGTGGCCTTCGAGACGCATAATTGGTTCTAAAGGGTTTTATGTTTAAAATACTTTTTTTTACATCATTAATAAGAAGTACATGAAATAAGTAAATCAAAAAATTACTCAGCGACGTATCCAGGCCAATTTCGATACCGGTATACCGGTATGGGCCCCCAAATTTCAGCCCAAACTCAAGTTAAAACAGTTTTATATTAGCATTTGTTATAATTACATAAATATCAACATTTGAACGACTTTTAAAGTACATTATAAGTGTATTTTAAAAGTCGCATTTAAAATACTTTCTAAATGTATTTTAAAAGTAAAATGTATTTTAAAACTTAAAATACATTATAAATGTATTTTTAGCCAAACAAAATGCTTAATTCGAGTTCACGTTGATGAAATATAGAATATGTTGTAATTGGATTAAATGTAAAACGCAAGTTTTGATTGGATTAAAATATGAAACGCTTACGTTTTCATAACAAAATTTTCGAAGTGATTAAACTAGATGAGTTTTACATTTCTTTTCAACTTTTTCATTTCAAACAACAGTAAAAATTCTTTGTAAAATACTTTAAATAATAAAACGAATGAATGTTTTTAAAAATTAAAATTAAAATAACATTTATTTAAATAATTAAAATAACATTTTAATATTCGCGCCAAAAAATTTTATTTGAATAGTAAGAGTAGAACTAGAAAAAAAAGTTATGAATTTTTGAATGAATTAAAATTTCGAATGAATTTACCTTGTTTTAAATATGCTATGTAATAAATCTTATGAAGTTTATATCAAAGAGTCATACAAATATTGTTTATTAAACGTTATAGTTATTGCTTGTTTATGAAATCATGTTCTTTTTATTTCTAGTTAATAATATTTAATATTTTGAATTTAATAATTTAATAATTAGTATTAATTTATAAATAGTAAGTGTATGGAGCAAGTAAATGAAAAGTAGCGATTAGCGATAAATCGATGTTGGAGTTAAAGCCGTTGTTCTGTAATAAATGTAACATTATTTTAGTTAATTATTTAAATTTTTGTTAGAAAAAATCTAAAAGACAAGGGTGAATTATATATTATATACGAATAATTGTATTTAAATTTGAGTTAAAAAAAAAAAAAAAAAAAAAAAAAACCGATATGCCCAAATTATTCCTGGATACGTCACTGTTACTACAACTATAATATAAAATAATTAAAAGAATTAAATGAACAACAGTAATAAAAATTAATGCTGTTGAAAAATAATGCTTATTGAGTGCCAGGTAATATCTATGACAGCCATTAAATATTATTTAATAAGTTAATTGAGTTTTTAAATAATAAAGGGGAAAAAATAAGCTTTCTACACCTTCCTTTTATTTGCTTTTAAATCGACTAATTGTGAGTTTGATTTTTTTTGAAGCTGTTAACTGTATTAGATTACCCAAAGTAAACATTAAATTACTCAAAGTCAACAACTTGGATAATAACTTTTTATGTAAAATACTTCTATGATACATTTTTTATGCATAAATCAAAAGCAATTTTAAAGTCATTTATCAGTTTATTTCATTATATAAGGCTTTTAAAATATCAAGATATATTTTATCTTGATATTTTAAAAGAAGAATCTTTTAAAATATCAAGAATAGATTTTATTAGGTTTATTGTGCAACTCCTTCTGATCCTAAAGCTTTTCTTTAGAAAGTAAACTATTTTTTATTAGCTGTTGTATGATACTATCAGCTATTATTCTTTCAAATACTTTACATTGTATCAAAATTAACAAGGCTTTTTATAGTTTGATGATTTTAATTTGTTTTTGTTTTTTTGAACAGTTCTTTTACATTTGCTTTCCTTTACATATCTAGTAGAATCAATTGATTTTTTTAACCTCATCTATAACAGATACGATATTGACATGCCACATATAGAAATATTTTTGTAATATTATATTAACACCCTTAGAATTAGAGTCGACATTCGGCAATGCCAACCTAATTGTTGACCTGACAGTGTCTTAGGTCAGCAATTTTTTGTCAACCTCAAAATTTTAATAACTTATTTGATACGTTAAATAAATTTAAAACAGCAGAGCAAACACTTTATTTAAATTTTAAATAAAATAATTAATATAAAAAAGTTAAAACAAACTTTTTTTATAAATTCTGAATAAATTAATTTAAAAAAAAATTTATTTAATTAAATAAAACATTTGTTGTAATCTATTTTTAAATGAATTTATTTTTAATTAAACTATTTTGTTTAGAATTCATTTAAATTCTAAATTAAACAATTTAGATAAAAGTGATCAAAAAATGTTTTTATTAAATTCTAAAAAAAACACAAAGAAAAAAAATAAATAAATAAAAATAAAATTAGAAAAAGGAATGCTTTTTTTAAGATAAAATGAAAAAAACAAAAATGTATTGGTTCTAAATAAAATAATTATTATAAAACTTGCAAAACTAATGTTCCATTTAAAATCCTAATATAATTCTGAGCTCGTTTTTTCTAAGCAAACATCGACGTTTGAAGGAAAAGTAGGCAAATTCTGCATTTTTTATTCTCTCATTTTATGCTAAATGTTTGTAGTTTGTTGATTTGTCAAACCATGTTAATAAATTTCGTACCAACCCAGTAGTTTTTTGCCAATCTCATTGTTCCTTATTCAGAGAGCTTTATTATGAATATTTACAATTGACAAGAGTTAAGAATTTCAGAGAACCAACAAAATTTTTATCAAATAACATTAAAAATAAAGATATAAAAAAATTTACTTAAATATTTGAACTACTTATCCACCAACTCAAATCACATTAATACTAGTATTAGAATTTCTTATTTATATAATTTATAAGAATTATAAGAAGAAAATGTCAAAAATTGAGATTATTTAACTACAGTAAACTCAGAAAATACAGTAAACTTCTGGTTGTATGAACTGGCACTTATTCGAATTTCCCGCTTATTCAAAGCAATTTTCATTCCCATGAATTTCTCTAAACAAACTCATGCAAATATCCATCAGTTATTCAAACCAGCAGTTAATGTATTTATTAGAAGTAATTTTGTGCTCCCCTTGTCAAATACCCCGTCAGTTTTTCGAAGGTTTCCTTTGGCTCAAGATAACATTGCATTGCATTTTAAAATACAACTTTATCTAATGTAATCAAAATATATGTATATATGTAAAAAAATACCATTATCAAAATATAAAAAAATTGAACACATTAAACATAGTGCAATGAAAATTTTAACTTGGTGTCTATGCGAATAAAGGCAGTACCATGCCCATACCGTGGGGGTTGTCGGGTGCAATGAATCACTCTTTTTAACAAAATCACTTTGTTTCACCCAAATTTTATAATAAAAATAGAGCAAAAATGTCAAATCATCAATCAAGGGTAAATATCTTGCTTTTAAAGATTAGAAAAAAGTCAAACTAAAAAAAATGTAGCCTAAAAGTTTGGTGTTCCTCAAAACACTTTAACTTACTAGATTAAGCATTAAAAGTCAGTCAATTTGAAACTAAGAGACAAAAATTAAGTTTTAAAAAGCATAATTCCATTGATAAATTTTTTTGATATATAGTAAGGTCTTTATTTCTTTTATTTAAAACTTGTTTTTTAGAAAGTAAAGACTTAAATAGCATCTTATTACAAAGTTTTTTCTTCTTTTTTACTCTCTTCTTCTGTTAAAACTTGAAATAAATCACTTTAAAGAAGATTTTTAGCTATTCAAACTTTTGGTTATTCGAAGTAAATTCTACTTTCCCTTGGAGGTTCGAATAATTGGGAGTTTACTGCAGTTACTTTTGTCATTATTTTTCACTAAAAAAATTTACAGTTTTAAATATTACCCTGAGAATTAAAATCAAATACAAGTATAAGTTTGTCATTTCCACCAGTAGCAATCAAACCTAAAAAAATAAATAGCAATATATCACTTCAAATAAAATATTTAAAATAAATGAACAATAATTTTTTAAATGAGGTGCAACTGAAACAAGTTGTTTTGTTTAAATGAGTTTCAAAAAGTAGAAATGATCATTCATAAGAAAATTCCAAATCATTTTAGTTACTTTTGTTATTTTGTTCTTACTTTAGCAAATAGGATTAAATGTAAAAAAGGAATGGAAAATCACACATTACAAATTAACTACATTACAAATGTAATTGATAATGTTATTATATAAAAATATATAATGCTCAAATTAATACCATAAATACATTCTAAAAAAAATAAAAAAAAGACTCTGAAACTAATGTCTACATTAATGAAGATTTCAGTGAGAGAACTATAAATAAGAAGCAACTCTTTGCTGAATCCAAATAAAATTGTGTTACAGGTAAATAACATAAAAGTGGTTTATAATAAAATAAGCACAAAGTCCTAAAAGCCTTTGATAAACTACTTTTTTTTTTTTTAAATTATTTGGCTACAAAAAAGATTTAAAGTAATAATAAAAACTTTGAAAAAAACTGAAAAAAAAACTGTACTTTTTAAACTAATGTTTTAAAAATAAAATTTTAAAAAGTATTTACTTAAAAGAAAATTAAAAAAAATTTTTTTTTTTTTTTAAATTTCATTGAATATTTTTTCCTTCTTAAACTTTTGTATACAGATTTTACTTAATCTTTAAATAATAAATTCTAAAATTCTTTCTTATTTTAAAATCCAAATTGGGTATCTTTTATCTTTAGATATATATTTTTATCAGTAAGATCCAGCTCTAACAAGTCAAAAGCTGAAGTATATTTGACAAGAACATCAGAATTAATAACCAACTGCATTAGGAATCTGTGATATGTAAGCCCGTGCCGTTAACCAAACTGGACCATTCTTTTGGTGAAAACCGAAACAAAAAAATCAAATCGAACCGAACCTATCTAACTATTTAAAATAAAATAAAAACCAAACCATAACCGAAAAAACTTTGAAAAACCGATCTAAAATTTTGAGATGTCAAAAAAATTATTTAATACCAAATACTATCAAAAATAATATATAACTTTTATTTAATTTAAGAAATTTCAAAACACAGAAAAGCAAAGTAAAATAGGGAACAATGTAAACATAATAAAATATTCCACAAACAGCTTGAATAAATTAGAACAAATGTTGTGGACCATGATGGAGTAAGATTTTTTGAGAGTTAGTCTTGTAAAATATAAGTTTTGTATAAGCTTTTTCTAAAAAGCTGCATTTTCTTAAATTATTTAAATTTCTAATATTGTTTATAATATTTACCTTATAACATTGTTATTTTGAAAACAATGTTTTCTAAACTGTTTTCATTATTTAAATACTAAAACTGATATAATCAAAAAAAATTTGTTGTTTAAATATTATTAATGCCTTTAGGAACATGCAAGACGTAAAATAATTTAATATTTGAATTGTAGCTAATAATGCTCTAAAAAATAACTAAAATTCTTTTTAAGGATTTTGAAAAATTCTCAAGTTAAATTTATTTATGTTTTGATATTATACTTTTTCAAAATTAAGTTTTTATATATGTTTATTGTTTATGTTAATTATACAGTTAGATTGTCTGATTAATCATTTTTATTTTATTCACATTAAAGATGCCAAAAGAAAGTGATATTTGGAAATTCTTTGAAAAGTCAAGTAAATTTGAAGCAAAATGTAAAATTTTGTTCATATCTTACAAAATAAACTGTGGCAGTACTTCAAAAATAACCAGCCACATCAAAACTAAACATGAAGCATCTTGGAATAAACTTGTTTTAAAAACTACCGAGATACTTAAGAAACAAAAACTTAAAGAAAAAGATATAAAAACAACTACAATTAAAAGATGCATTACAAAAAACCAAAAATATGGGTTAAATGATTTAAAGAAATTAAAGTTTGACTTAAATTTAACAAAATTTATTTGCAAGCTTGGTCTGCCATTTGAAATTTTAAACAATGAAGGAGCACATAATTTTATTGATGAAGTAAATTGCAAATTTACTGTAAAATCTGCATCAACATTTAGACCTCAAAAAATGTTGTATGAAAAGGTATAGGAGGGGCAAATAAAATTTCTCAAAGATTTTGCAGAAGAAACTGGAGTTAATTTTACAACAGATCTCTAGACAAGTGGAAGACACACTGGGGTTGCTATTGAAGTAAACCTGGACTCTTTTATTGCTAATTTAAACTTAAATGAAGAAGTCCATCGAGCCTGCATTAATGACAATGGCAACAACACTGTTTAGCTGTTAAAGAAAGTGATGAAATTAATTCAGAATTGCGCTGCAATGATCACACAATCCAGCTAGTTATTCTTAAAGCAATAAAAAATTCAATTGAAAATTCTAAACCAATAAAAAATTGTACAGATTTAGCTTAACACACACATAGAAGTGTACTCTCTACAACCAAGCTTTAAGATGCTTGTGAAGAACTTGGAATTAAGCCCAGGAAATTGATTGTTCCATGTACAACACGATGGAATTCTGATTACATGTGCAAGTCCTTGAAGTCAAAGATGCAATCAAAAGACTTGCAAAAACCAAAGATGAGTTTGAAAGGTCATGTCCCACAGATAATCGATGCAAGACATTAGAATACAGGTGTATTGCTATATATATATATATATATATATATATATATATATATATATATATATATATATATATATATATATATATATATAGCAATACACCTGTATTCTAATGTCTTGCATCGATTATCTGTGGGACATTTATATAACAAATAAATGACCTCTAAAACTTTGTTTTGTTTTTAACCAAAACCAAAATGAACCGATCAAAAAAAAGTTTAAACCGAACCAAAAAAAACCGAAGTGTTACTTTTGTTTTTAAAACCAAACCAAAAATAACCGAACCAAAAAAAACCTTAACCGTGTGGCCTTAATGATATGATGATACTACCAGGTCCTTGTCCATAAAGACAAATTTAGAGGGCTCCATGAATGAGGTGGAGGTTACAACTACCAGTATTTTCAGTTTACTAAAACAAGCTTCGCTTTCCAATTGCATTTTCATTAGAAATTTTCAGCTTACATTAGGATCATCCATTAAGTTATACTTGTTTAGATTAATCTGAACCTAATAATCCATTTTTATGTTCATCTGATTTAAATTTATCTAAACAAGTACAATAGTTTATTCTAATAAGTCTGTTGCATCGACATGTCCAAGAAACATAAAACCCATGTATTATACCTAAACTTTGTGAGTAACATTGTCCCAAAATCTTGCTACATACCATCTCAGATTCTCGAATGACTTAGTTCAAACTTTCATCATATCAAACAAATAGTCATCATGACTTGCACTTTTAAAAATTATCAGAAGTAAGGTGCAATTCCATAGTTGACAAAATATTTTAATTTGTAGTAAGGTACAATTCCATAATTAACAAAATATTTTAATTTATCTTTACCATATTCCATCATAAATGCAATTTTTGGTGTCTAAATATATTGCCTAAAAGAGTTATCATTTACAAATATATGTTTAATTATCCATTAAATCTAGCACTAAGTTTAGCTTCAATGTGATAAATAAACAAAACTGTTGTTTGAGATGGGAATAAGTGGATAAGGAAGGTCAAAAATTTGCAAAGTCTACATCTTATTTGAGAGTCAACTGTTATTTAACATAACCATGTACAAAAACTCAGAAAGCAGCCTATTTTTGGAAATATGTTAATTTTATTTTTTGAAACATCTAGATTAGAAAAAACTGATTGTCTAGATTTCTTGTATAAAACAGAAGAAATATTTGTACTGCATTTTTAATAAACACATAAATAAAGTCAACTGCTATATGTAGTCAGTGTATATAATTCAGTATTTATACACCGCCTGAGAGTGCTGATTTTAATACACAATATTTTATTAGATTTTCAAACCACATTTGAATAACAATTAAAGATTTAGGTAATTAATGCTTTAGCAATAATAAAAACAAAAAATAATTCAAAATTGACAATTTGAAATTTTATCAACAATTTTGGAGCAAGTTCTTATTGATAAAGATGCATTGATTAAAGATTTAAAGTTGAAAGTTGAAACACTGGGGAAAAAAAAGTTTGAGTAAATGATTTTATTAGCAGTAAGAGTACAAACTACAATGACTTTGCAGCAGCCTAAGCAAACCTGGGTCACAAGCTAATACACCTCTCATTATTGCAGTATCTGCAAATATCTTTAACAAAACCAATATTAAAATTGGGCAATGATTCAACATAAATATCTTTGATAAAACCAAAATTAAAATCGGATTAACCTCAATAAATAATTAAACTTGGGTAATAGTGGAATTTGACAAAGTAGAAACAAGAAGCACTGTATTAGAAGCTGCAGCAAATCTTACCCAAACAGATCACAAGAATATTTTTATTTATTAGGTTTTTTAGATTGTTTACAACAGGCAGCTATTCTGGAACCTTTCTCTCCTTTGTAACAGCTTGGGGCTTGCAATAGCTTGTGAATTTTAACTCTAGCAAAACTTGTTTATTTAATTCAAATATTTATTATAATTCTGTTGATGTTTCTATATTGATGAATCAGGCCTTGGCAGGAAGCAAAAGCTTTAGCTCTTGCTTCCTGCTAACACTCCCTTGCTCTCGTCCACACTTTCCTAAAATGGTTTACGGGAGCAATTTACAGCTTTCACAAAAGTAATTCTTTTCTCTCAAAAGTTTAATTATCATTGTAAGAAAAATCAAAAACGAAAAGTCAAAAAAATTCAATTTATTGGATAATAAACAGGCACGGTTTTTGCAAAAAAAAATATCTAAAGAATTTTTTTCACAGCGCAATAAATGATACTTGCTATGTGTATATCATTGTAACATTAACATTACAAACATATGACATATATATAAATCCAAATTTTCTATTTAATAAGCAATTTTTATATAAATAAACAGATAACTTCTGCAAAAAACAAAAGCTCTCGTAAAGAGCAGTTTAGAGGAGCAGCTTTGTTTTATGTTTGCCATGTTTGTTTTAGAGAGAGCTTTTCTCTGCTCTCGAGCTCATTTACTCCCGTCAAGGCTCATCTACTCCCAAAGATGAATGATAATACTCTTACTACTTCTGCATTACATATCAAATTATCATTCACTACAAACCTCTCATGGAAACTAGAGATTGCAATACCGATTATCAGTTTACCGTTAAATATCTAAATTTGAATCAAGTTTTTTACCAGTAAATTTTTGTAACTAACAGGTAAATCAAGCTTTTTGCTATCTAAGGATTATTTTAATTTCTAATTGCTGAATATATTTATCTAATAAAGAACGTATTATAACTATGAAATAAGCTATTTATTTTCTTGTCAATAGATTAAACATTAAAAATATAAAAGTGTAAAGCATACTTTTGTTTGAACTAAATACTTAAATTAACGACTCTAATTAAACTTAACAACTCTAACTAATGTGTTAAAAAGAAATAAAGAAGAATGCGCAAAAGAACCAGCAGTTGCAAATAGCATCGAAAATTACTTTTGATAAAAAAAGAGACGATTTTCTTGAAGCTGTACTTTAAAGAATGATTGCACAAGATGGCATTCTTTTCAATAAATTTTAAGAAGATTTAAAGATGTTACTAAAAACAAAAATGTACATAGAGTTACCAAAATTGCCCAAAACCATTCAAAAAAAAGTAATAAGTTATGCCAATAAAATAAGGAAAGAAGTTGTAAAAGAAATTTCATAGAATAAGCTCAATAAATAAGCCTATAGCCTTACCACTATTAAACGACCGGGGCTAGTATTTGACCTAGGCCAAAGCCAAGTTTATGGCTGGGGTTGTATAAATATTGGTGCATATTTATATATGCACCAATATTTATACAATTGATTGACTCGGATTCATGGATCCGCACCTGCTGAGGTATGCACAGAACTAATTGAAAAGAGTTTAATATAGCTTTGTCAAATATAATGTGCATAACATCAGACGGAGCTGCAATTAACAAGAGAACTGTATTTAATTAAAACTGTTTATTGTACATGGCATACAATTGGCAATCATAAAAGTACTTTATAATATTAGTTCAAATGATGTACAAGATGTTAATGAACATGATGGTAATGTATTACTTAATGTTGATTCTGATTATTTGGAAATTGAACTTGAAAATTTTGAAGTAGACCACGAAGATATCGACACTGCCTAACTTGTTCTACAAAACCCAGAGCTAAATTCTTTAATTACAAAAAATTCGGAAAGTTGTAAAACTTTTCAGAAAATCACCAACTAAAAATGATTAACTACTGCAAAAATACGTTAATGGAACTGTTGGAAATCAACTTTCTTTAATTTTAGACTGTAAAACTAGATGGAGCAGTTTATTAAGCATACTGGAAAAATTATTTAAACTTGAAGATGCTGTTCAAAAAAGTCTGATAGATTTAAAAATTGACATTAATTTTAATAAAAGTGAAGTAAAATTACTTTTAAATATAATATCAAACTTGCAGCCTATTAGGTTGGCCCTTGAAACACTCTGCACTGAAAAGGTTAATTTATATGTAGACGATCTTACATTAAAACTTATGTTAGACGAATTAAGTAACCAAAACACTTTTTTAAGTATTGCATTAAAAATTGAATTAATAAGTTGTATTAAAGAAAAAAGAATGATAATTTCAGACATGTTACACTATATAACAGACCCTAATGATATTATTTCTGTTAAAGACAATTATGGCATTTTAAATATCACCAGTAAAGCCATAATTATTAAAACTAATGTAGAAAATATTTTGTACAATAATACGGAATCTGGTAAGAGTATTTAAAGACACCTAAATGAATCAGATTTGGATTTAAATAACGACCTCATTACTGTTAAACCAAATACTGATTTTTCTATGAAGGAAAAACTTCATCTTTTTTTTTTTAAACAAACGAACAATAATAAAGGAACAACTGTTTTAAAAGAAAGTAACACAAAAGGTCTAAAAGAAGTTATAAAAAAAGAGATGGAGTACTTTCAATAAGAAAAATATATGAGGGAAGTACATTCAAACAGTTTTTGACTATTTGATGACCATCCATCCAACAAGTATTGAACCTGAAAGAATATTTTTAGGAGCTGGACTAATTTGTACTAAAATTAGATCTTGATTAGGAGACAAGACATTGGATAGTTTAAGTTTTCTACAAAGCTACTTTTTGAAAAATTATATTTAATAAAAGTTGTATTGATTTATTAATATATAAAGATTTACCGGTATTACAATTTTCATTTACTGAATTACAAGTAAATCAAAAAGTTGGTAAATTTACAATCCCTATTGGAAACCAGATTACCAATCCATTGCAAAGTTAGCATTTGATAAGTTTGCCTCTCTTTATTGGGGACCTCATTAGATAATTCTCAATTCCATTCTCTACCTATACAAGTCTTTTATTTGTCCCTGTATAGAGAACTGTTTACATATTTAAGCTTTTAATTATGATGCTCTTACTCGATTTGAAAAATTCCATAACTTAAACATAACCTATATGTCTAAGTTATGGACACTCTGTGTTACTGGGTCAATTCTGATAATGCTTTTAAGACTTTTCTTAACTGAATCATTCTAACGAAAATAACAAATGTCCAACAAAAACTTAACTTTATATGTTTATAATTCAACTTAATGCATTATTCAGTGAATATATAGTTTCTTATAACTTGTAATTTAAATCTAAAAAATTTATAGAAAACATAACTATTAAATAATTTTTAAAATTTTAAAAACTTTTTTTTTGACTGAATAAAATTTTACAACATTTAATAATTTTTTTACTAAAGAATATAGCTATTGATGATTTATAAAGGGTTTCACATATGATTTTCAAAAAATAAAATTAGTATACATATTAAATTATTACAACGTCATCGTACACTCTAAAAATAAAATTTTACAATATTTAATAATTTTTTTACTAAAGAATATAATTATTGATGATTTATAAAGGGTTTCACATATAATTTTCAAAAAAAAATTAGTATACATATTAAATTATTACAACATCATCGTACACTCTAAAAATAAAACCATAAAATGTCAAATAAACAAAAAATTGATGAAACATTTTTTTAATATATATGTAAATCATGTATAAGTATTATTATTGTAAAGTTTAAAAGTTTGAAATTACATTTCAATTTTTTGAAACTGTTAAATTATGTTTTTTTATGCATAACAAATAATAAATTTAAAATATTTATTATTAGCCAGGTGTGTGGAGTTGTAAAGAAAAAAGTACTGATTCTGACTCCGACTCAAACCGTTGAAATTTTCAGAGTATGACTCTAACTCCAATTTTAACTTCGACTTTAAAGCAAAATTTTTGAAAAATTTTTTGAATTTTTTAAAAAATATTACGCGATAATTAAAAAAAAAATTTTTTGCCAAATTTATGAAAAGTTCTTTGAAGATTTAATATGAATATGCACATGCAATACCGAGAACTTTTACTGTTGGAGTCGGAGTCACAATTTTGTTTAGTGCTCTGACTCTGCTAAAAATGTTGCGACTTTGCGACTTCACAGCCCTGATATTAGTTTGTAAAAAAACTAATAATACTAATAAGTATTTTAATAACATTATTCTTTTGTTAAACATTTAATATTTCATAAAAATTTGATTACAAATACTTAAATATGATTTATTATAACTGTTCAAAAATACTTTTTATTTATTAAGTTACATACTTTTTTGAAAGAGAAACAAATTGAGCAAAGTATTTGAAGTACTTACAAATCAAGCATTTTACCATATAACTAATACTGTATACAAATTTATGAAAGTAACTTAAACAACTACTACTTGAATAATATGCATACTATAAAAATTTGCAAATAATCAAACAAAATTAAGTTAAGTTTAGAATTAGTAAAAAATTATAATTTGTACTAACTCTCAATATTAATTAAGTTGGATTATTATTAAACTATTGCTAAAAGTCAATTATTTAAACACACACACAGAAACAAAACATACAAAAAAAATCTATATTCAAATCTAAATCTGATACTGTTGATTTTTATCTTGCTTACCATGTGGATACTTTTCTGAAGCTGGTATGGTACATACAGATGCAACATAATTTAAATGTCCCAAAAAGATGTTTCCTTCATAAAAACTGTTTGTTTCATTGTCTGGAATCCATAACCTACAACTCTTATCTCGAGACACACTCAAAATACTTCCAGGCGGGTACAAAGAAGGAATAACAGCTCGAACATCAGCTTTGTGCCCAACAAGATTGCTTTTCAGCTTGTATGCCATAGTTTAAAAACTTTAAAAAACTAAAAACTTTAATAAAAAAAATATTATTATATAATATTATATATATATATATATATATATATATATATATATATATATATATATATATATATATATATATATATATATATATATATATATATATATATATATATATTATTGTTATTATTATTATTATTATTATTATTATTATTATTATTAATATATATATATATATATATATATATATATTATTATTATTATTATTATTATTATTATTATTATTATTATTATTATTATTATTATTATTATTATTATTATTATTATTATTATTATTATTATTATTATTCTTTTTTTTTATATATTAATTTTTACCATCGATACTTTAAATTATCATTTTTCAGTATCATATGCTTATTTAAAGTAAAAAAAAAACTCGTTAATAAAGTGTTTCAATATCATATTTGTAATCAAAAAAATATGATATATGTAATAAATCTATTATAAACCTTTAAGGTAAGAGATAAATTGTAGAGGGTTTACTTAATTTAACCTTAAATTAAGCTTTGTAATATAATCAATTGGTCAGGTAATACAAACACTATAGATCTTCTATAAACTTTTGAGGAATTATTTATATTTTTATTAATTCTGAAAAAAAATTGACATTAATTCGTTTTTTTGTTGTTTTTTTTATTATTATTATTCCGTATTTTACGGTTTACCCACGCCGTAAAGCGAGGTCTTGAAGTCCGAAAAATTTGGCAAGAAGTTATTTTTTTGTTTTTTTTTTTTTTGTTTGTTTGTTTACATTCTGATTTACTCCCAACAAGGCTGCAAACAAACACTATTAGTTCAGGAAAGAGTTAAAGAACAAGGAAACGATTGAAAGAAGACTTGAAAAGTTGTAGATTGTATGTATCAGAAAAATATGATGAATGGAGAGTGTTCCAAAGAGTTGAAGTGCAACGGGAAAAAAACTAGACGAATAAAGGTTTTTAGAGCCTGAAGTAAAAGAATGAGGTTTTGCTGAATGAAAACTCAAGAATGAGTTTTAGTTAATGGGATTAGAAGTGATAGTTCCTGTGAGCAGCGACCATGGTAGTATTTGAAGAAAAAAAAGAGAGAGATGCAACTTTACGACGATGGGAGAGTGGATAGAGCGGGTCTAACTATGTTTACAATCAGGGACGTTCCGAGGGGGACGTAGGGGTGTCTAATCCCCCTACGAATTTTTTCGGTCCGCAAAATTGAACTGGATTTGGCAGATAAGGATCTTTAGTTGGCAGTCGGCAAATATCGGAAAACGAGAACTTTTTTTTTTTTAGCGATTAAAAATTTTTTTTTTGGTTTTAGTCGGCAAAAAACACACACATCACCCCCCTCCTTTTAAATCTCTTTGGGACGCCCCTGTTTACAATGCGTTGTTGGACTTTGTCTTACAGAGAAAGAGCATCATTAGAAGAACTACCCATTAGTTTTCCATACAGGGGCGATTAAGAGATTTGTAAAGCTAGAAAATGGAATCAGGATTAAGAAAATAGTGAGCACAATAAAAAGAAGCAACCTTAGCAGATACTAATTTATCAATACATTGCATATATTAAAAATAAATGAATGGATTACGAATAATAAACTTTCATTAAATGTTGGGAAAACTAAATTTATGTTGTTCCACAAACCTAGTAAAGGTGATAACCTTTTTTTAAAACTACCTGATCTCTTTATGAACAAAAAAGTTATTAAAAGAGAGTCAACTATTAACTTTCTAGGAGTGATATTAGATGAAAATATATCATGGAAATATCATATTAGATCTATTGAAAATAAAATCTCCAAAAATATTTCAATGCTATATAAAGTTAAACCTTTTCTTAATACGGAATCTTTAAAAATTATATATTTCTCATTTATTCATAGTTATCTTTCCTATTGTAATCTTGCATGGGCAAGTACCAATTATGGGAAGCTCAAAAAAATTTATAGCAAACAAAAACATGCTTGTAGGATTATTTTTGGCACCTTAACAGAACTGTTGATGGTGAATCTCTTTTAAAGAAACTTAATGTGCTTAATATTAACAAGCTTAATATATACCAAGTTATGCTATTTACGTTTAAAACAAAACATGCGTTATCTCCTGATATATTTCAGTCTTACTTTACCAAAATATCTCATAAATATCCCACTAAATTTTCATCTGATAATTTTGTTATTCCAAGATCTTATTTAAAACTCAATTCATTTCAAATTCAATACCGGGGACCATTTATATGGAAAGGTTTTTTAAAAAATATAATTAAAAATAAAATTCTTCGAGGCATCTCCTTAGAACAATTCAAAAGAGAATCTAAACGTTTTCTATTAGAAAAAACTTTCGATTTTAAAGATTTCTTCTAAAATCACCTAAAATAATTAAACCTGAAAAAGTCATCACTACTCATTTACTATTGTCTTGTGTATCTTGTTTATTTCTTATTAAAATAAAAAATATATATACTATTAATTTTGAACAGACAAATAACATTTATTCGATTTATTACTTGTGTCTTATATTTGTCGAACTAATATTGTATTGTACTTCAATTTTTAACCTTTTAGTTTTTAACTTGTAACTTTGTGACGTTAATGTAAACGGGGCTTGGCGATAAGACAGTTTATGTCTTCTTCTTGCTCCGGCCAATTTTTATACATAAATGGTTTTTTCTCATTGTAAATTTAATTATACGGCAAAGAAAATATAATAATAATAATAATAATATATTGTTTCCATGAGAGGTTTGTAGTAAACGGTAATCCAAGAAAACGTAAAGTAGAGGACTCAGCGAAAGGGTTGCTTTTCACTAATATAGGAATGTTGACAGTATTGTGGTAGTTATTAACAGTAAATAACTGAGCTTTGGTGGAATTGAAATTCACAAGCCACTGCAAGCCCCAATTTTCTACAGAAGTAAACAGGAACAAAACAGGACCAAAGATAAATCTATGTTGTAATACAACATAGATCTATTGTTTAAGTTGTAAATGTCACTTGTCTCTTCACTCGGTAGAAAGTTTTTATTTCTCATTATTGGACGTGTTTTAATCCTATCATAACTTTTTCTTTGCCAAGAAATAGAGCTGGATTAGTGATCTCTTCAGGTAGTACTAACACATACTACATTTTAATAAATCTACCCAAAAGACTGTTCAGGAATTCCATGATTTTACTTTTCACCACATGAATTTTATAATTATCCAATTGAAGAGTTTTATTTAGAACTGAAACAAAAGTAAAAACTGATTGATAAAACATCAGATAAACATCGGTGTTCTCATCTTCAAAGTATGTCTTTTATCTAGTGAGTGTTTTGTCACTTTGTACGAGATTTTAGGCTTTTATATTGTTTTAGTATTCTAGTGATACACAGCTACCGCGAAGCCGCATCCTTCAAAATTTTTCTGTACTCCTGATTACAAAAGCCAAAAAAATCCTTCATGTTGCATGTTGTCGTTTAGTGCTGTTGTTAAAGTAATAAAATATATCCTTTAAAAAGTTGCTAACATCAAATCCTGTTTAGTAAATGCACCTGATCCTGCTTTTGCAGTATTGTGATTAATATGACAGGGGCATCTAAATTTGTAAAATGAATAAGTTTCTTTTTAATGAAGTGTGTGAATAATTCCTTGTGTTTTCCCATGTTCACAGAGGTATTGTCTAAACTTAAGCCAATGCAGTTTTCCCAAGAAATTATTTAATTATTATTGTACAGTACTGTAATTAACCCAGAATTATTTAATTATTAAGTTAGATATTTAGTGTGACTTTTTTATTAATAAAGTAATTATTGTAAAATGTCTGGTATATATTTTTTACGCATCAGTTTTTTTTCGCGGGTTTTTTAAATACCTTTGCTGGTCAGCGGGTTTATAACAGTTTATGCGGGTCTCACCCGCGAATCGTGGGTCGCTAGGGAGCTATGTAGTGTAAAGTAAAAAAATAAACAAAGTAATAAAAATGTTTCTGATATATTAAAGATTTCATTATATTTATTGTTTATAAAAACAATTACAATGAAAAGATTAGATCTTATCCCAAATATGCTTAAATTAGGAGTGGATAAATTACAATTATGGAAGGAGTTACTTAATGAAATAAAAAATACTGAAGAAATTCGTACAAAAAAAAAATAAAGTAAAGGTTGCTTTATATGTGTTTATTTCAAAGGGGAAGAAAAAAATAAAGCAATGTGGTCGAAGTTATGATTCATTTATACAAAAGAAATATCATTGGCTTCAAAGAAATCTTATAACTAAAATTGTGTTCTTGGAGAGCGAAACAAAAAGGAAGACATAAAAGAACTAGCCGCTGAACATCATGAAGATCTATCTTTAGCTTCTGCATAAAGTAAAAATACTGCTGTACAAAAAAACATCAAAAACTAATATGACTAACGTTTAAGAGTTCAAAAAGGTTGATGATACTTTGGTTTAAACATTTCCTTTTACATGAGTGTAGAGGAAACTCTTGAATTAAAAATGAACACTGATCTCATCGATAAGAGAATGCCGGAATGTGGTCAAGATAACGAAATATTCGGAGTTTTATATGGAAAGATTGGTTTTGATGGACCTTCAAGCCAAAGTATTTATTAGCAGAAATATGAGATAAGTAACACAATTATAGAACTTAAGCATGAAAAAATTTTTCAATACAGCTTTTGTGTCTTTATTGCTCAAAGTAGGAGATTTGTGTCTTTATTGCTCAAAGTAGGAGATTTGTGTCTTTATTGCTCAAAGTAGGAGAGAGAGAAAATAGATCTCCTTCAAGTTGTCACTTTTGTAGACCTCTTTGTCTACAATAAAAATAAGCGTTCGAAATTTAAGCTTTGCACTGCTGGATAAACTGCTTAGAGTTTATTCATCATTTGAGTTATAAAATTGAACTTAAAAAGTATAAGTCAAAAATAATTTGGGAGAAATTATCACTCGATTTATAAAAAGAAAGAGATTTTGATACTCTTCAAAAAACAATATCAGACATACCAAAAATAAAAATACCAATATCAGACAAGCAAAAAAC